GTGGTGGCAGCTCAGTGATTCTCTGGGCTTCCCATGTGTATTCTTCGTCTGACACAAGTTTACACAGCCGTGCCCAGTAAGTCGGCTTCTCTGCTTCCTGCTCTGTCTCCAACAGTGACCCTAAGGGGATTCCTTCTCTCCTCACAGCCATCCCTGTGTGACCCTAATCCAACGCTGTAGCCTTCAGACTACACCGTGGCAAGGATAAAGTCAGAAAAGGGCAATTCTATTATATGAGGGTAAAGGTGCATTTGAAGCAGTTGATCATCAATAGAGTGGAAATAGCACATCTATTTTTTTTAGATTTATTTATTCAACTTTAAGGAACAATGATACTATAATATAAATAATGTTTTTGTTTTCTTTTTCAATAACCTCTCAGCATTTTACAACATGAATCAATACATTAACGATGTTGATTAAATAATAAATTAATCCTTCCAGCCTAACATATACAGTGTATAATATAGTACAATGACTGAATTGTTGGAAACTACAAAAAAACAAACAAACAATGAAGGTGTAAAAGACTAAATCAGTTAAACATCGTGCTTTAAATGATGCATGTGTCAACATTAACATGTACTGACAGTGTGATGTCAGAAGTGTGCATCATTGGTTTCAAGTATGGTTTATTTATTCCAAATTAAGAAAAGCACAATGTCTCCTGGCAGATTAGATTACAAATATTGACTCCCACTCCAATAGCATATCATATGACAATAGCAATATTTTGGCAGTGCACATTATTTGAGGGCCTGGAATATTCCAAAGAGGGTCACATCTGCACAGGTGTGTCATTACAGCATTGTTTCCCAAAGACTGGGTCGCGACCCTCAGGTAGGTCGCAAGAGTTTTTGTTTTTTTTTTGGGTCATCTCGCATTATGTTCCCCAGGAGTTTACGAATAATGTCTATTGACTTTGGTCACAATGGTTTGTGACTTTTATAATATTTGCATTAATTCTTTGCCACTTTTACAGTCACGACTCGTATGAAATTCCTTGTGCAGTAATAATGACCTTGAAGCTAAATTTCAAAACTGTCAATGATATAAATATATATATATATATGTATGAATTACATGTAGTTAACACAGTATCACAAAAAAGTAACTAATATTTAATTTTTTTTTGTTCTTCTACCATATAACTGCAATAAATCAGTTGAATGAATTGCTTCATGCAGAAGACAGAGGGTTTGTTTATCCATATTTAATAATTGCAGAGATGCATTCTATTCGTGTCAGGGCAGAATTCATTACTGGATAATCTATTTTTTTCCGATACAAATGGAAAGCTTTGACCCCTAAATGCTTGTGAATTCATACCCACAGCTTCACAACACTTAGTTGATATTCACTTAACACATATAGGGCCAATTCCCACAGAATAGCAGAATAAATGGCACATACTGTAAAAGTCATCCCATACCGTCCTTCATTTTATGCCCATTATCACAGGCAGTATGGAAAATTGTGTGTTCATTGAAAGAGCAAACGCATAATCCTGCTGAGCTTTGTGAAGGTCGCTGGTTTGAAAACTGTCTTTTGTAGTATGCAAAATAAATAAATAAAATGATAAGAAATAACAAGCAAAGGCTTTCACTAACTTATAAGATTTCAAATTTAAGCAAATGGTTAATTTCCTAAACTGGTGCTAAACCTGTGAAATATAAGAATTCAAGAATAAAGGTTATATATAACTGTTGAAAATATATCTCCATAAAACTAACAGCAGCACAGATTTTCACATCTTTTGTGATCCTTGCAAAGACAGATCCTTCTAAAATGAACCAAACAAACAATTACAATCTATCAGATTATTGTAAAATACACTTTCTTGTCTTATTTAACAATACACATCATGTTCTCTCGCAGCAACCTGAGAGACGGAAAAGCAGTTTTGTGTTTTGCGACTGGACATAGACAGAAAACAGGAGGGAGTGCAATGAGTATACGGAGCACACACGCACATGCGTATTTGTTATTTGATACAGAAGTTGGTGGTCTGTCTTTACAGACTTAATTTTTGATAAAAAAACAAATTAATTATTAAAAATATACTGTACAGGGAGTCCTCAACATATACCGCGTCTGTTCCTTCAGTGTGATGTAACTCAATTTTATGCTGTAAAACTAAAAACATACTGTACATAAGTGACATGATGCGAGATGACCGCCAAAAAAAAAAAAAAAAACTCTTGCGGCCCATCGGAGGATCGTGACCTAGCCTTTGGGAAACAATGCCATAGACAAATCACACAACGCTTACATGAGATTGTAAGCAGGCTGACAATTTAAATGACTAAAATCTTTTCAGAGAACAACACGACCAAAGAAGTGCAGGACTCTCTTCAAAGAGAACTCAGTCAGCTTGTCGTGAGAGAGGCATCAGGTTAATTGCAGAGCTGCTTGGAGACCATGAAAGAAGGTTTGAGAGGACAAAGAGAGGAAGTGTTTGTGGGTGCGTGCGTGTGTGTGTGTCAGTTTGACAGACAGCTAGCTCAGCCCTGCCTAACAGTCAACCCCATTTAAACACCCAGCATCTACTGTAGGTTATGACTCCCTTACCACACAATCATTTCTAGTGCCGGTGTCAGCAACAAGCCCTAATACTTTGAGTGGTTTAACCATCGAGGTAGAGGAGACAAGCCCACCTCATTACCGCAGTATGTGCGAGTATGCAGCTCATTATAGGTGGCTCTTTCAGCTTGTTAACGGAAGTCTAGTTGTCTGCTGTCTTTGCAACACTCCCAAGGTGACCTGAAGAATTCCAATGGACTTTGCAGTGACCAGACACATTTCTTCGCTCATTTATATGTTAGCTACGCTGGTCACAGCTGCAAAACACTGCTTCCCATTATTCTGGTGGTGCCATGTTCTGCCCTGTAGATAAAGGGTATGTTCATTTTATAGAAAGAGTTTGAGAAGTGTGGATGACTCTTCATTTTAAATCAAACGGTCAAACCTCCTCTACTAGAAAATAGCATTAGATAGATCATCAGCAATATAACTTATTTTGACATTTTGACAGTATAAAACTTATTTTGACATTTGGATGATATAAAACGTATTTTGACATTTACCAGTGGCGATTATTTAAAATGTTGTCTAAAAAAAAAGGGAAAATCATGGAACCCTGTAAAATACATTATCGATCCATTGTTGTATTATCCACTTATTGTAACCAAAACCAATTTCTTATATTGATGCAGACATACTACAGCAACAGTATATGAGACACACTAAGTTATACAGGGCAGTTCTGTTAAAAAAACACTACAATTTCCTGTGCTGTTAATTAAAACAAAATCTGCATTTAAATAAATCTATGCTTATATTGCTGTTGGCAGGGCATTACTGTATATGTTTAAAATGTAATATAGATTTTCCGTGTGCACTCATTCTAAAAAGGTTTTGCTTGTAACCTCAGGAAGAAATTCGTCCTTCTCCCAGTGTGCTCTTCTCTTGCATGAGATGAATATGATAATAAAATTCAAAGCTTCACATGGGAAGTTAAAGTAGAGGGTGGGGTTAAGTAAAAGAAAGATAAAAGTTAAAAATATATCATGAAAATAGTTTGCTTTCTGTTCAATTGGCTGTTACTGGCTTAATTGTATTTTTCTTTAATTTCAGTGTTATTTCATTTTTTTAAATATTAAAAATTGCTTAATGTGATGGCAGTTTGAGTTTAAAGACTTATTTTTATACAGAATGACATCTTTGCTCTTGGCTTTAAATAGTCTCCACCTCATTGTTACATTTTGCATGTGCACATGAGACAGATTTACTGGGGAGAAAAACTACTCTGCTATGCTATTGTTAGAAGTTGTGTGTCATTATATCAGGTTAAAGTAAAACTGTTGAACATTTTGTATCTTGGGGTAACTCACAAAGCAAAAAAGCTTTCTAGAATCTTGTGAAATAATATGCAAACAACTGTAACTGTAAATGCTGCATAAACAAAATAAGAAAAATAAGAATATCACAATGCAAACCAAACCCTTGGCTTTGTTTGCTCAGTTTCCCATAGTCTGTATTAAATATTCAACTAATGAAAATGTATTCTTTGTTTTTTTCATTTAGGCTAAGAAAATGAAAAATTATTGTAGCGAAAACACAACATTTCCATTGAAAACAATAATAATCTTCAAAAATGTAATAGCAATTATTTGCAACATCACAAAGAGATGGTCACAACACTATAGCTGTCACCACTAGAAGAAGTGCAACAATTCAGCCAGTGTACAAAAAGAAACCACACAACTTTAATTCCAATTTTTTTTTATGGGTACACTTTATGCATGATTCTGGAGATGGCAGCTTGGAGACTACAGTGCACCATGAGCAATTCTCTGAATATGCAAAAAC